AGTACTAACAGCTCATCTTAACATATTCTCCATGTGAGCAGTTTGAAAGCTCTGCTCAAGTGGCTGGTCCACTATCACAGAACACATCCTCAAAAGAATGGACATCTTGGCTTGGCATCTTGTGCTTTGTTGCACAGAAAGACTATTATATCAGGCAATATTTCAAACTGCAGGGCACTTTGTACCACAGAACTGAAAATCATGGACAGAATCTGACTACTGGCACCAAAAACCTGTAACCGGTAAGGAAAGTAGATTCACTGTTGTACTTTGTTACAAATTAAGTTAACATGTGCATTCCAAGACAGAATAGCATCCATGCATGTTCCCAGATATTCTTAGGATGTAACTTGCTTAATGGACTCATTATGATTGAGGACTAGGGAAGGATATTCATCCTGTTCACGACCAAAGACAAGTTCCTTTTTTCTAGTATTTAAAATCAAGACAATCTGGTCACACCATGTAAACAAGCTGTCTTCACTGGAACGCATCCTTACCCTTCGTCAGAGAGAATAAGGTTAAATCATCAGGATGTTTGATAAGGAATTGGCTTGCACTACTGGAAACACAATCATCCGTATTGTGTTTCCACACACCTTGGACTCCACTATTGCTTATTACTTTGGGTTGTGTTAAAAGCTGAAGAAAAGCCAAGGAAAAGTATCATTATGTTTTGTATTTGTCCAGATGTTTGGAAATAAGGAGCATGAGGGTAACTACTGCATCTTCTGTGCTTCTCCTTCTTTATAAGCAAGCTGATATGGATCAGGTTGTTTCTGACTGGGTGAGATTCTGAACTCCTCTTCAGTGATAATGCCAAAACCAAAGTAAGAGCAACTAGCCTGAAATCACAGTGTTCTCTTGGACAGGCCTCCCTTTGGAGGGGGTATAATATGTTGTTTTCCATACTATGAGAATAGTATGCGTGTGTATAGGCATCTGGAGAATTGTTTGCCCCACTGGAGCTAATACTCTTGCAAACAATTTCAAAATAAATACACTTGTATTATCAGCACCAGTTGCCTTATGAACGTTTATACACTGAAAAGTATTCATTACTTGGCCTACATTAAAGATAACATTAATGATTAAACCAGATCTTTGGAGGTAAAGGTGAGCCCTATGCACCCGTGGTCACCTCTCGCTGTAGCCTCACAATCACCACGGTCCTCTCTGAAGACACTGCCCCACAAGGGGGCTTTCTGAGCTTGAGAGGTTGAAGGTGGCTCAAGTAAGTATGACAACTGCTTTAAGGAGCTCTAAAATACAAACAACCTACAACAGATCTCCCTGCATAAGGCTTTGACTGCATCAACTGCAGCTCCCCTGGCCACATGGACCACGTGGATCCCAGCTGGCAGTGATTCCAGACAATAATAATGAGAGAGGACAGGATCCATGCCAGGACAGGGAATGTGGGGACTCCCAACACAGTGCCAGTAGCTTTTAAACCAGTCTGCCAGATCCGTTCGTTCTGACCAAATTAGAGTCACCATCCAGCAGGAGCACCAGGTGCAAATGGGGAGTATCTGAATTTAGAATAATAGAGCTAATAGGAAACAGGAAGACATCCTTTTCCAAAACATAACCCTGGACATTCCCAAAGTGGACAGAATGTACACAGTAGTCTATGAACTCTCTTCATACGATACTGTCTACAAGGGGTCAGAAAGAATCTGTTAAGGAAATATACGTGGATCATTCAATGGTTAGGAGTTTTGGAGGGATAATTTGCATTATCACAAAATAAGCCCTCAGTGTTTATAGTTGCATGTATAATGTGGTTTAGGTGGCATGTGCTATTAGAGGACAGATGTCCCCTTAGGGAAGCCTTTCTGATCCTGTTGAGCTAATCTGGGCAATGCCTCTAATGCTTGTGAAAGCACCTTAACACATAGCTTGGGATTTGAGCAAATCGGTGAAATGGGATGCACAGGGCATGGAATCTTTCTCTTTTTTTTTCATTAACATATGTAGTGAATATAGTGTCAATGTTAAAATCCTTCCAAAAATAACCCACTTCAAAGGTCGTATGCAAACAAAAGAGGACCATTGGACCTAGTACTCGATGTCAGATAAAATTCAGGAGGAAAACCATTTGATTCATCCTTTATCATGTCCTGAACTCCTTCTTTAGGTCAAGTCTTTAGGAATAAGTCTTTATGTATCTTCCTACTTCCTACTCCAGACTTTCTAGCTTTTCTGTGTGTTTATCCAGTATGTGCGTTCGAGCCTGTTGCTCACCTGACACAATGTCCAGTTTAAGATGGTGAGCAGTTGCTGAATAAACCTGTCATCTGAGCATTTTAGTTCTCAGCCAAATCCTCCATCCGGGAGGTCACCACTGCAGCCATCTCCATTTTCACAAGCTGCATTTACTTGTGTAAATACTCGTGGCCATTTATCAGTTTTGGAGAGTAGAATTGTTTTCCACCCTCATCTTACATAGTGAGTAAGCAGAAATACATCTTTTTTTCTCATGCTAGACATGAGTCTCAGTCCCTCTAATTATGATACCCCACCAAACCAAATCATGGGGGGCAACACAAACGTGGCAAAAGGGTCAGCAGTAGGAGCTCTAGTGGAGGTCTGCCAATCTAGTATATCCATGACATGATCTCCTCCTGCTCCATGTTCTTGAGAATTGATCTTGGATGCCCATGTGTTACTGGAGATCCTAGGTTTGTAGTAGATTGGAGCTGAATTTGTATTACTCCTTTGAGAATTGATCTTGCTCTGGTAGGGATTTTATTGTTAAAAATGAAGGATGTTAAAATATGACTGAAACATACAATGGGAAATTATGCAACTAGTATAACACCTGGACTGCCATGCCACGCATGTTCAGTTTAATGTGTGGAAGGGAGCAGACATGCCCTTCCACACAAAATAATGTATTGATTTGATCGCGAGAGTCTTTTCCTAAGTGTCATGACTGCAAGTCCCTCCTCTTAAAGACACTCCGGCTCTTTCCCGTTTTGCCTGATTTTCCTGCACCTGACTCCTATCCAGCCCCTCCCTATAAAGGCCTGATGCTCCTATCAATCTGGGCTCAGCTTTGGAAGATGGACGCCCGGAAGCCCACCTACCAGCGAGTCCAGGAGAGACTCAATGGCACAGGCTTCATCACGGCGTCCTGACCATCTGGGTCCGGGGCTTGGAGCGCGAGAGCCCCGTTACCCCTTTTTGTTTCCCCGTCCCTGCACCGGATCCCGCCTCAGTTTTTAACTTTCGTCATGTCTGTCGAGGATGGATTACCCGGTTCTGGACTTCAGGCTTTCACTCTGGATTTCCCTACGAACTCCCATTGGACTTTCACCTGGACCACGCCCCCCTGTTCGTCTACCAGCCCCGTTCCTAGTCCACTCTCCCCTGTGTGTATTGCACTCCCTTCCGGATTCTATCGTCTGCATAGGGTCCTGATTAACGCTTCGTGACACTAAGTGAAGAGTGAGAGCCGATGGAGTGTTTTGAATATATCCTCATGTTGAGAAGCCCAGAAGCTCTTCTTGCCTGAAGTGAGTGGGAGAAAGGGCTTTTAAAAAAAAAATTAGTAATAATTGCAAAAATGGCAGTGAAGAATAAGAATAGATAGAAATCGTAATCAGCAAGTTGAAGGAAAATAACAAATACTTGGAAAATGCTAGTGCCAGATTGTTGGAACCTTTGACAAGTAACCTGTAAGAGCATCTAAATATATTTAAAACTATGAAAAATTACAGAGTCACATTCTCTTTAACCTATTATCTGTTGTGTGGATTGAGGCTATGGTGAGATCTGTGTACACTGAAGCAGCTGTTCCTGATTTGCAAGTTCAAGTTGTTTCAGTTATATCTTTGAGCATCTTAGCAGAATTCACTTGTAAAAGCGACATCATTCAGGTAATGACTTCTCACTAGGAAGGCTGTGGCAGGCAGGTACTAATGTTTCAACAAGATACACGATAAATGAAAATGGTCTCAATGGCTTATAGCTCATACATGTTTGAAGAGCAGAGGAAACAAAACAAGTTTTCCTTCAGTTTCCACAATCCTTTCCAATACTGTATATGTAAAGCCGATTTATTACATCTTTATTTAATTAATATCAAGGCAACTGTTCAGTGACAAGGTGTTCTGTTAAACATTAATATATGTGTATTTACTTTTAGGGTTATAGTGCTCATAAATGGTATCTTATATTTTTCCTTCTCTTTAAAAATTTCATTTGACTTACATACTATTTTGTTAATATAAAGGGTGTGCCTCGAATATGCTGAACAGGAAATCCAGATGTTCTGTTTTTTTAATGTGTATCACCAATGCCAAGCCTGTGTCATCATCATCGCTAGGTAAAGTTCTGCAGCTAACCTTGGACTAGAAATATTTGAGACTCAGAACTCTTTCCAGCTTGGCAATATGCTTTGTTCACAGCAGCTTTTGTATGTTGGCAAAGTCATGGTGATTTGTTGCCACAATTTAAGAGCAGCCTCCATCTGGCTCAGTGAATCTTCCTTTTGAAGTACACATGGCAAAGGCTTAAGTGTGACTCTGAAACTGATCTGTTAATATAATTTCAGCTTTTCTACAAGGAAAGGAATTTGCTAAACTTAGTCTTATACCATTTTTACTTAATGATCCAAGTGTTATGCATTTCTGTTTTTTAAATTCTCGTTTTTTTAGTTATGTACAACCAAGAAGAATTTCAGAGGATATCACTACCAAATGAAAGCCTCTGAAAAGTCTCAATTTCTGCTTCTCGAAAGTAGGGAAATGCTTCATAAAGAACCATGTCTAGATTTTTTTCATTCTACACCTTTATAACTTTCATCAGTTGACAGTTTTGGAAGTTGTTTTATTTGAAAATAAAATTAAGTGGAAAAACAATGAGTCACGTGTTACTCTAATAAAACTAGCTTACAGACCCAGGCGCACTTTTTCACAATTGACACGTTTCCGTAATAAATCTTCACTGACCTGTGTGCCTTGATAATTGACTTTTACTTGTTGTGCTTTCAGAGACTGTGGAACATGGATCAAGCAAATGTGACAAGTGAGTAACGATTTTCAGATTTTTTCCGTATTGTCTGAGGTTTCATTAAAAATAAATGGAAGGAACCCCAGAGGGAGAATATCAAACTGTTGTTGTGTTTAATTGCAGTGCACCAAAGGAAAAAGGACGAGGAAAAGATGAGACTTACTGGAAAGAGATCAATGCAGCCATGGCCTTGACAAACCTTGCACAGGGAAAGGACAGTGTATCAGGGACAACCAGCTGTATCATTCAGAAATCCTCCCACATATCTGAAATAAAGACAGTTAAAGTGCCTATGGCGCAGAAGTATTAACATATTAACAAGCTATGCAACATTATATTGAAGGTTTCGGCATTGTTGACTTTTAAGTCTGTCAAACTGATCATGTTTATTTTATTATGTATGTTTAAAATCAGCAAAAGACAATGGTTTCTACACAAGTCTTAAAACTTTTTATGCGCCTGCAGAAATCAAGTGTTGATACATTTTACTATTGTTAAAGACAGTATTCTTGAACGAGACACTTTTATAATGTTAACTTATTTGATAAATCTGACTTTTTTTTACTCCTAAATTTTTGTACTTTGCCAAAGTGCCTTTTGAAGCTGGAACAAAATGTCCACAATGGATGTATGCACTCACATGAGAATTAAATATCTTACAGATTTTTTTTTTTAAAAGGTAAAAAAAATATATAGCCATTATTTAAGAGATTTTAAAGATGCTTCTAGAATTCTACTTATAGGTTTCATGAATTTCATTTTGTGCGTATCTGTTTGGGCACGGTTGACCTTCCATGACTCTCACAGCTTTCATTTACCATAAGAAAAACTCAGCTGTGTAAAATCTGCTTCTCCTAGTGACATTGAAGATGTTTAGTCTGCCACATCATTATGGCTGTAAATGCAACACTGTTGTGTCTCTGAAAAAAATACCTACATAATGCAAACAATAACTGTGAATAAACCCATACAGTACATCAGCTCGGCTAACTCAAGGCATAAATATTCCGAAGCAGAATCACGGTGGCAGTTTACTGTGTGTGATTGACAACTGAGTTTATTTCTGCCTGTAACGTGTTCATTACGGGGAATGTTCTCTAGGTAAAGAAGCTCACCAAGCACTCTCATAGGGTCTTGAGCAAAATGATGTATGAAGGTTTAAGGCTTCTTCCTAATTGAAACACAAATGTCAGCAGGATTCCATAACTTTAAGGGACTTCTTTATTAATATAGTAGTTGCCTTAGTTTATGTTTTTTTTTCCTTGACCCATGTACAGTACTTGCATACAGGAAACAAGTGAGTCGTGAAATGAACAAACTCTTTCACTTTGTCAGCAGTTTGAAAAGAAATGAAAATTGCTGTTCGTAAAAACCTGGAGACACACATATATATATATACAGCATATGGTATGTGATTTTGCGTGCAGTGTGTGGGATCTGTGCTCCAAAAACCAGACTTCTTATTTCTTATTTCTAAAGTTTATGGGTTTGATTCTAGTAAGTTTGTTCCTATTTGTATAAATTGTACATGACAGTGCTAAACGTGAAATTTTACAGCTTTTAATGGGTCCATTATAGGTTTCACAGTTTTAATTAATCGCTTTCTGAAGTTTGCTCTGGTGTAGACTAAACATTAGTTAAGGATAGTAAAATCTGTTAAAAGGTGCAATAGAATCAGGTGTAGAGAGTGATGAGAAAAAAGCACAGGAACCAAATTTGATACAAATGGGTGATATAAACATGTCTAAGCAAGGGGAAGTAGCAAATTATCATATTACACCTTCGTTGGGGGAGTAGTGTTGAGAATCAACCTGTTAGAGCCTGGTTTGAGGAAACCGATCATCTATACTGTATATATATATATGTGTCAGTGCTTCAAACAAGTTCCAGTATTATCTCTACGTCAGCAAGCAGCAGTCTCAGTGCTTGCTTTTCTGTCTTGGTTCTCTTATGTATAAAGTGTTAATTAGTGTCATTATCACGTTAACTGTTTTTTATGAAATGAGAATCTGTTTTTGAACGTAATAATGTATATATGTTATATCTGTAGTTGTAATGAATGCCAAGTATACTAATTCAATTAAGAAAAATTATGACTGTATGAACAAATGTAATTAGCAGTTTGACTGACAGAGTAGGCATATTTAGAAAAAGGTACTTTTTGATGTGTTACAAAAATTTACACCATTGTTGTACTGAGAACCTATAAAAGAAACAGTAGATTTATAGTGGATCACATACATACCGTTTGCTAATGTAGATATGTCTTCTGCTGACACCATCTTTGGCACTAACATTCTGATACAGTTAACAGAGGTCTCTAAATGATGACTCTTGCATGAAACAATTGAATATATAAAGTACAAATACATAGAGATTTTACGAATCAGTAACTATGACATGTAGTTATAGTTGATCTTGAAATTGGATTTGCTTCCACTAAGATTCTCACTGTAGGGGAGGGCTGTGTAGTACCTCTACTGTTCACCAGAAGGTTTTTACATTAGCCTTGACGATTATGTCAAATATAACAATAAGAAGTGGCAGCTGACTACTCAGAAGTTATAACATAAATTCTGATTCTGCTTTTACAAATATGTAACGATCAACAGGAAAAAAAAAGGCATTTGTACTGTTTTGTACTGTATTCTACACAAATTCTGTTGCTCGACTAGCTGTTACTTTGTTCATACTTTTTATGTAAGTTATTAAGGAGTGTGAAACTGAGGAAAATGATTTGTTTTTATTTTTGTTAAGTTATGCAAGTTTAAAAATTGCTGGAGGCTGGATTTTTGTCCTATGACCAAACGCATACTTTCACATTGTAATGTTTGAAGTGCTATAAATGAAGACTTTAAAAGAACTACAATAACTTCTCCAGAACAATGAATATGAATAAACCATATCAAATATAACAAACCCTGACATGCATCTGACTTTTTTATATCTAAGGCTTGCGATTTATTTTGTGTAACCTACAGTACCTGCCAAACGATTCTTTTTAAGACCAGTTACAAGACAACTTTAAAGAGAATTTATAATGTATTTTAATCTAATTTATAATAAGAATTGTCTTAACAGATAGAAGTGATAATAACCGCTTTTATTTGACATTTAAATGTTCTATATGACAAACCACAGCCTGATTACCTTCTAAGTGGCTTCTTGAATCAAAATGTAACATCTTTTTTTCTGCTGCTTGTCCTCAAAGAGGTTGAAAGCTCAGGAATGCCATTCTGGTAGACAGGTTTTGGGGAAAATGTTTTTTTTTAGTCTTTAAGTAAATCATATATTTTTAAGAGCTACTGTGTAATGACTATTGGAGAGTGAATAAAGCACATTGTCAGGGCTATTTTCCTGATGTGTGGTAATTGCATTATGTTTGTTATCCTGGGCATTGCGTTTTAAATACCAGTTTGTATTTGTGCTGATGAATATTCAAGCTATCCTAAATGCAAATGTGTAAAATGAATGTCTTCTGTAGTTTTGCTATGATACTATAGGAAGCAGCTATCATTGTAGGTCTACCCAGAGCACAAAACAACCAACAGAATATTGATTTTGAATAGTAAATTACTTTTTAAAAAATCCTATAATGTACAGCTTTGAAAAATACAAAGCTGCTATTCATCCCTCAAGTTCAACTGAAGTTCACATGATTTTGTGATGTCTTCAGCTTTCATTTTCTGAATAACCACTTTGATTTAAATGTGGAACCATTAATTATGTCACATGTAATTTTCTCTTTGGTTTCTATTCAATAAATGCTGAAACAAAAAAAAACAGCAAAGGGAAAAGATTTCAAAGCAAATTTCGCCTCCTCGATGAAAAGCAAGGCCATTCGTTAGGTTTTCAGTCCAGAAACAAAACACAAGCAGATGGGACAAATAAATTTATTACTGACTGAAGATCATAACACAACACACAAAGGCAACAGATCAATCTCCAGTGCTTCTTATTTTGTGAATGCTCTAAGTACATTTGTTTTAAAATAGGGGGTATTTCAGTCACTTACCTATTCCTGTTTTTGACCCCAAGTTCCTTAAGCTTCCAATTTTAATCTTTATAAGATCAAATAAGTAAGCTAGCATCCTGTGACACAGCAAACTGCTGGCCAGCTAAATTGTATTGTGAGGTCTCCATCACCAGGAGTAATAAAACAAATCAAGGAAAGTACTTCCCAAATCATTAGTGTTGACACGTTTGAGGAGGAGTCTCATTGCACAAGTCAACACGAAATCGTTTTCCTACTTTTCTTAATTCTAAAGTCATCAGATTACATTTACTGTAGCAAGTGTTTGAGAAACTGGCTGAGCCATTTTTCCATGGAAACTGCCGGACTGTGGTTTTCTCTGGTCAGCTTGTCTTCACTGCCTTTTTTTCAAGCGAGCGCTTGGTGTGCTGGTGCCGTCCTGCTCACAGAAGGTGGGGCTGGGCACATCGAGGTGCTTTTTAGGCCAGAGGCTTGACGAAGACCAGAACACTTTTTTTTCCACGCACTTGGAATTCAAGTTACCAAAAAGAGGAACGGAATTAAAGAACAAAGAAATTCTTAAAATGATCAGAATGAAAAAGAGCATTTCCTATCTGATGAAGAAATATTAGCCCCAACCATACTGAAGTAATTAGTTACCTTATAGTTAAATTCCAACAACACATTAATTAGGAGTAACCCACATTGTTCTACCGTATTCATACTACACTTACGCACATGGGAAGCATATGAGTTAGTTAAAGACACATTATAAAACCATTTATCATGTAAAATTAGGCCAGAGAATACAAATGTTTTTTTCAAGACCAGCCCATATTCTTCAATCTTTTATTCTGTCATTCCAGCTACTGTAGATTAAGGACAGAAATAAGGTTACATTCCATGAATGTGTTTCAATGTGCCTTAGTGGGTCAAGTCATTTTTCGTGATAACCTTGATTAGTGATTTATAAATAATGAGTACCCAGGTTAAATTTTGTCATTTCATAATTACTGTCAATTATATTTTTAAATGCAAAAACAATGCAAAAATCTTTTTGGACTATAACAGAGCAAAGCCTTTCTTTGCTTCTGGAATAATGAGTTTATTTTGCTATATTAAGTTTCTTAATAGATTATTTCCTCAAGATGTTTTGCCTTGGTTTCAGACTGAAAATGAACACCGGCTTTGGTTCTTGTTATATAGGTCCAAAGCGTTGTGTTAAAGCCACAGCTGTTTAACTCTTTCTCTGTTTTTAATTCTATGGAAAGGCGGTAACCCATTTCTAAATCTGCTTTTCAGTAGGCAAACCTAGTGCAGTAAAAATATTTCCTGTCTTTATTTCTTATAATAAACTTCCAAGAAACCACCAGAAAAAAAATATACTTACAATAAACTGTCACGTTACCACATGAAAACGCACTGCTTGGCTAAACAAGGCATATATTGGATGTTTTTTCAGGTGGATACATTCTCTTTTTCAATTCCAAGTCCCTTTTTAAGATACATTTAAAAAGAGGTCATCTTAGCATAATGAAAAACAACAAGCTCTTGTATAAAGTTTTTCATTGTAAATTGTAAATTAAAAACAGTTAGTGACACTCAAAACTAAGGGAAACTGCTAACAGAGCAGTGAACAGAAATAATTGAATACAGAAGACTTTAGATTTTTCAGTGGAAGAATGGGAATATCCATCAGTATAGAATATAATAAAATAGCATATAGCATATAGCATACTGTATAGTATAGCATATAATGCAGTATATAGCATCTAGCACATAGCATATACTTTATCATATAGCATAGTATAGCATAATATAGTGTAGTATAACATACCACAGCATAGCATATCATAGCATATCATATCATAGCATAGCATAGCATCGTATGGCACAGCATAGTTTAGTATCGGCCAGTGTAATGTCGGGAATGATGCATCATGATCCCAAAGAGGAAAACAAGCTGAAAATCCATCTTGAAGATTGATTAGCATGACTCAATGAAGATGAGGGCAATTTTTAATTAAGAGAACCTCTGGACCATCATGGCTGTAAAATGGTTGAATGAGAGTAGAAGGATGTCATTGCGGTATTGTTTAACAGTTACACAGCATTTGTCAGAAGGAGATTGTTTCAGCTCTTCTTGATCATTCATCTCCATGCCATTATACAAACACTGACATTTGACTCAGTTCATTATCATTTATGTCATAACAAAACAACTGTTCAGAAGTTGTAAACCTACAGCCATCCAGTAATTTGTTGGTTAGCTCTCTAAATCTGTTTTAGATAACCAAAAACGTTTTCAACACGACTTGAGTTTTCCCATCTCGACTCACAGCAAGGACCCCTGTTCCCACACGGGGAGAAATAGGAACTACAGACAGACTCCTCCGATCCATCATCATTCATCATGTTGTCATTCATTCACAAGCCACGTCCATGTCATTCATTATTTGACACACTACAGGCTTCACAGCTGTGTGTCACAGGTTCACCACTTACTGCAGCAGAAGTGCCTTATTCACTGTTGTCACCTGCAGACCTACAGGAGCCCAGAAAGTCAGGAAGGTCACTGTTTCTGTCACGAACAGTTCTTTCCGGGCCCTATGCAGACGACACGATCCGGAAGGAAGTGAGGAAATGCTAGGAAAAAGTCATGCAGGAGAGGGTATGGAGACAGGGGGCTTGTCCAAGGGGTGCAGGTGTCCAGGGAGAGTAAATCCGGGGCGAACAATCCATGAGAAAATCCAAACGGGTCATCCAAGACAGAAGGTAGAGTCCAAGGCCAGGAGATCCATCCAGGGAATAAAACCATGAACTGGGGCGGGGAATCAGGAACAGAAGGTTAAAACCATAACGGAGCCAGACGCAGCAGGACCCGGGCTCTCACCAAGCGGAATTCAATGAGGAACCAGGAGTGACGTCTGCGTCTGGCTTTTAAGGAGGAACAGAAATAGCAAACAGGTGCAGGTAATGGGGCAGAACAAGGAAGGGCTGGAGCACCCTTAAGAGGAGGAGTAGCGATTGTGACATTTTAGTGGGAACCAAGAGAGTCTTGGCTGACTAACCCCCTGCTGGACCAGGCTAGTTATGCACTGGCTTAACCAGTGACTGTAACTGTGGTTTCAAAGATCCTAGTCACGGTCTGCTAGTGACACGAACCAGGCACAAACTTGCAAGGTCTAGATTGAGGAACTCAACCTGTGCATGGAGACAGGGCCATTACTGATCGAAACACATGGAAGCACCTCTCCTGTATCTGTCGTTTTACACTGCTAGATAACATGTTTGACTACAGAGGACCCTGACTGCAACATCTGAAAAAATGTCCAGTCTTGAAAATCTGCTCCATTTCTCTGGGCTGACCCCGGGCACAAATGGTACAGACCTATGAGAATGTATTCCATTACAGGGATTGCTTTCCACAGCACAGAAACTGACAAAAAAATACCTGTGTACGAGGCAATAAAAATAATTCACAGGGATATACTTTTACAAGCAAAACATAACACCTAATTATTTGTAATTCAGTACATTAGGGGCATTGGAAAAAGATGGGATTTTTTGGGGAATTCTGAATCACCCATTCGTTTTCTATTACATAGCCGCCTGATTCTCACAGGCATGCTTCTCAGACATCTCCACTGGCGAGGCAATCTGTCATTTGCCATGCATCCCCTGCAGTTGTCTGAAAGGACAGTTAGTGCTTTCCGAATAGCAGTGCATTTCTTGCTATAGTCTCTGTAAACCAGCAAGAAACCAGCAAGTTACAGCACTTGCGGTTTGCCAGCAAACTGAGAAGACTGTGGCTGACTAATTCCAGCCCTACCCCTCTGGCGTTCTGCCAGCTGTATAACAGATGAGCGTTTTTAAACGTTGTCAAGGTTTACAGATTGTTAATTTGAAATGGTTGATGTAGCTGTAAAACTATGATGCCGTTCAACACAAATGAAATGAAAATCAGTAACATTCAGCAGCAATTCATCTGATTTCTCCAAAATGCGAAACATGAATCACTTTCTCCAGACACAACTCTCCGAAAACTCACGCCGAGGACTCCATTGTGCTAACAAGAAAAATAATCCGCCAGGTAGAAAGCATGAAATACACAAATGGGCAGTTTAATTCTAGGGCTTGTTTACTTGCAGTTCAATCTCATAAAACCCCATGTGAATTTCCCCATTTATCCTTCCTTCCAGTTTAGCCAAGAGAGAAATATGGAGCTGAGACAAGGAAACGCTTGCCAATAAAAAAAAGATTTAGGAGCACTTTTTGAGTAATTTCCTAAAATTTCAAATTACACTCATCATTCCAGAACAGCTCCTACATTTTCTGCCAACCCTGGGAGAAAGAGGTAGGATGAATAAACGCAAACAGAAGGCAA